CAATAAGTACTTTATTTTTACATTCTATTTAGACACAGCAATACCCTAGATTACAAAACCTCCAAGAAATATCGAAATTATCAGCATTAGCAGTCACAGCATTCAAAAGTATGTCACAGGGTGCTCATTTCCCCTTTTTTTTTGAAATCAGTATAATTCTGTAAGTGCATGGGGTGGATTTTTTAAAATATTTTTCTGAGTACTGTTAGAACTTGGGGCATCGTGGGAATCCAGTTGGACGCCAGGTTCTTGGACACCCTGTATAAATATCATGTAGCCGTACCTGCGTATAATAAGTCTCCATGATACTCTTCTTAATGACGTGTGAGTCCATATGTATCAAACTGAGGAAGTTGAGACACATAGCGGGAGTCAGCCGACAGACCATCATCCCGGAGAAGATGAGACTGTACTCATTCGTCTGGTGGTGAGGGGCCAGATAGTAGAGGTTCAGGAGACGGATCTTCAACACGGTGGAGTACGCGCAGTAGAACATGTACGCTATTATTATTGTTGATATTGCCTGTGGAGGGAGGAAATTAGTAAGGGTAAAATAAATAATTATTACCGTGGATTATGTTCGAAAGAGTGACTTCTGAACAAGTTGAAGTCTAGACTCGTATGTAATGTATAATTAGGTTTATGTTCTTTAGAAATTCGTAGTAATCATAGGTAGGTGCGTTGTGCTACTACTTCGAATTCCTTTAAGTTCTAAAATGTTTCTTACGAGAATACAAACTGTAATTCATACACCAGTCATTTAATTACGATAATAGTACGATACTATTATAGTATGAATTCAAGTAACGTTGAAGACTCACCTCGATAGCCATATAATTATAAGAGTCGGTAGCTGCGATGACGATGTTAGCGAATATCGAGAGCACGGGCTTCTTGCAGAAGAAGGTCATTTCTGACCAGACGACGGCCACAGACATTATGCCGGTGATCACAGCCATTGTCTTCAAGAAGTACTGGCGCAGGAAACACTCCCAGTACCATTCTGAAAGTGATTAATTATGTAACTTTTGATTCCTATAATACAAAAACCTGTACCTGATTGGCACCAGGTATAATTTTAACGTGTATAGATTTAAAAGAAAAATCTAGTTAGGCAACTTTAGTTTTAATGATTAATGTTTTGTAGACTAAAAAGAAAATATTTATAGTCCTTTTCGTTTCGTAAATTATCTTACCAACGATTGGCGGGTAGAATATCCGTTGTAATCTTGGCCGTGGCGTGTGGAATGTGTGTTGGAACCGATGGTCTGGGGAGCGCTGGTTAGCGGCGACATCCTCGAGGTGGAAGATACGTTCCAACATCAGACCCCATTGCGTCTCCGTACGTTGCAACACGTGAAGAGCTTTGATAGTCTAATAACATAATTATGAAAAACAAGGTGAGCCCAAAATAGAACCCTGTGGAACTCCTATCAAAATATATGGCTTTTAGACAAAAATTCGAATAAACATGTTAGTGCCTTCATAACAAGTATTAATAAGGATGAAAACATATTTTCAAAGCAAGTTCTTATACTGCAATAACACTAAGTAATGAAAGAGTTTTGTGTAGTTTGTTATCTAAAGCCTTAGACAAAACAGGGATATAGTAGAAAATTCTTTTATAGTTTACCTTCTTGTGTAAATTGACAAGTGATTTCAAGGATGGTGGTGTTGGTCTATCAGGTGGTGCGCGTCCATTGAGTCTGTCTCGTAGTTGTATCGGCAACTTCTGTACGATGGTGTCGACATGTCGGTATAAAGGATGGCCCGACCCTACTGCTGCTGTCACTGCTTTTAGACTCTGAAAAGATTGGTAATTATTCATATGCTTGTTGAGTTGTATCGGTAGTATTTAGTAGCACTATAGTATGCTAAAACCCTGGAAACCTGGATCGACAAAAGTGTTCGCGACCTCTTGCTCGGTAGTCACATTAGCCACTATTCGACTAATGAGGCAATACAACATAGTGCAATGTTAAATTATTTTTTCTATTAATAACTTAATACAATTCATTTTTAATTTTTAAGTTTCTTAGTACCCATATTTTTTTTTAAGTAACATAGTATTCAACCAGATTGAGTAAAATGACACTTCACTTCAAAGTGTGTTTATATGTCATTGTGATCTGATTAGATGCTGATAAAAATGTTTATCCTTATTCTAGCCACAACTGTGTGATAAATGTTATCTATTCTTACCTATCCAATACAAAACTTTATTTATTTTGCAAAAAGAAGGTAGATGTCTGCCTTGTGGGATTAGATTGATAGAGATGACTTTTTTGCTGTTTAAATAAATAATTATTGTGTTCTATTCTTAAAATTCTTTATAGTACAGTGTGCTGCTTTGCATCACAAACTAGAAAGATTAAAAAGCGTTTCGATGAAGAGTTTAAAGCCTATACTTAACTCAAGTCTAAAGTATAAAGTTAGTCTAGTTAACCTTTAGTATGTAGAAGAATAGAATGGTCTAGTTCTACAAATCAATTCATAAAGTTGGACTTATGTTAAACACCTATCAAAAATAAGCTTATGATGCACACTTTCTATATCAATCAGAGTAAAATTACTTACATCCAAAATATCATCAACAGTTTCTTCAGCTTCACACTTATCAGTACTCAGCTTAGCAATCTTGAAGTAGCAGTAGGTCAAAGTGTAGTTCTTCTTTGAATTATTCCAGAGGTTTCTAGGCACTTCTACGAGGGCATATCCGAGGAGCAGAATTAAGAGGAACAGACCCCATGTGTTACTGGCTGATGATGCTATGGTCTTTATTTTTGGAGGATCTAAGTGCACATCAGGTTTTAAAGCGATGTATATAAGTAGTATGCCGCATATGAAGAGGTATGAACCATAGTAGATGGCATTGTCGACTAGAGCGGATTTCAGTTTCCCTTTTACGGTGAAATCGCCAGCTTTGCTGTATGACTGCATCATAGGCATTATTAGCCTGAAATAAAATAAGAGTTGGCATTGAAATTAGATTATTGAATTAGACAGGATGTAGGTCAGACAAAATTTATTTAAAAAAAAATGATAATATGGCCAGTTAGTATAAATTTATTCAAAATTCATGATACATTTGCATATCAACTTGTTATCTACTATTGTAATACTACTCATATTATAGTAATGTATTATTCATATAGTCTAAAATTCTTAACTTGTTTTATCTAAATAATTTATGTACCTTTTATAAATTAAATGGTATCACTACCTAAACTGTTACTTAAGGCATCTTGTAAATATAAGGAGATTTTGTGATAGCGGCCTAACAACGTGATTTAATCTAATAATAATTATTTATTTTTACGATAAAGGAATGAAAGTTTGTTTTTATTCAAACATATGTGAACAACATATGATGCATGTTAGTAGTGCCTGGCTGCAGTTTGTTTGAAGATTATTAGGATCTTTTCAAAATCTCAATCTCGCTTAATTGTAGTTCTGTCTCTACAAATTTTTTGTAAAATGACAGAGATGACATGCTATTTGCGCGACTTACGACTTTTCAGTATTTGGGTGTCAAATTTGTAGTTGAAGCTACATTGTAAAATTTTATAGATAATGTATGAATAGTCGTACAATCTAGGGTAATAGTACCCTCTTGACTAAACTATGACACACAATAGAAACTAGATTGTGACTCGCTTAACACATCGTATGCAGCGTCGGACAATGAAGACCTATGCTAGTGGACGATTAGCCTTTAACAATTTTTGTTTGCAGTTAAAGTGGCAAAATATGTACACAAAATAAGTTTAACTCACCAAGTAAGACATTGTGAGGTCCAGTATACAATTCTCCAGAGATTAGGGAATACATCAGAGCTCATGAAACTGTAAGGCTTGATACACTCAGTAGCTGGTGGGGCAACGGTTGTTGTAGCATTCTGTAGCAACGATTGTGTTGTTTCTGATACTTTCGTCGCATTCTCCATACATTGTCGATACACCGTCTGTTGTTAATTAAAATAAAATAGTAATTGTAATAATTGGGTATGGGTATTGTGATACAATATAATCTATGGGCAGGAAATTAATGTGTTTAACCTGTGGTATGTCGGAACACAGATCTACACAAGACACATGCTTTCTATTGTGTCTCATATACCTACTGACATTCAAGCGGTTAATAAGTTAAGTAGATAATAAAATTATAAGATGTAAATAAAATTGATGGTAAGCCAATTAGTTTTATAAACTTACAGTAGGAATACCATTAGTTTACTATAATATTATGGTTACAAAATACAAGCTCAATTAACTCATTTGAGCTTTCACAATCTAATGAATATTGAATAGTATTGTATCACAGCTTTAGTTACAGGCTCCATAGTAACTTCTATGTAAAGACTGTAAAAGAGTCATATGTGACTTACCGATGATATATCTAGTGGCAAGATGAACATAATCACGAAGGAGAAGTACCATGCTGTCAGCACTGACACTGTCACTATTATGTGATTCCTATAGCAGTCTCCATATCTGTACAGCAATGTCGCTGCTAACACAAACGCAGATATTAGTTCTATCACAAACAACGTGTAAGCCATTTTGCCACAACACTATACTGTTCCAATCACAAATAAAATTTAGTTTTTCTTCGCAGTTCTCTGCTTCTCCCTCCAAACCCTGGTAGCTTCGTGCTGCAGCTGCTCAAATCTAATCTGAGTCGTAGATTTCAAAGGCAGTAATCTAGGCCGTTCAATTTCATACTCCGGTGGACATTCTTCGTAAAAGAGAATCCCCTGATCGGGCAATATAGGGTCGAAGTCAATAGTTTTGTGTTCGGGCCCCTGCGATTCTGACATATTTTTAAGTACAAAACATAGACCGTGATGATGATGACATTGTCGTTAAAGTACCAGTGTTATTGACATAAAAATCACCAGACACTCACAAAAAAGATGAACAAAGAATGAATACACTAAAATTACACAGAATCCTTAAATAAGCATTTGTGATATCATCACAAATCGCTATCAAGAAAGACAAATCAATCAAAACGTTAGGCAAGTATCCACTGAAAATTATTAATTTGACAATTATGCTTTCTCTTTCGTTCTTACGGATATTTCCGTTTTAAATTTTGGTACTCTTTCATATGTCATTGAACTATTGCTTGAAATTGTAAAAAGTAGGAAATGGAACGTTTATGTCGACAGATTATAAATATGGGCATTTACGAAGAAAGCTGCAGCTTATCCTATAGTATAGCTCAGGGCTATAAAAACTATATACCTTCGCGGGCTAATTAAATTTACAAAAGCTGGAGGGCCAGAAAAATGTTTTCAGTTGTATAATGACGTTTAACATTGTATTCGTTACTCACAGAAAAGTTGCATACAAATCATACACTGAATTTTATTATTGTTGTTGCACATAAGATGAAGATGTCGAAATGAAAATGTGTGTTGCGGGCCACATGAACAT